TGACCATTGTTTTCCCCCTATTTCTAACAAAACAATGCATTACAGGATCGCAGGGGTGGTCTCTTATCATCATTTTGTACTGCTGGTGTTACTTATTATAGAGTATTCTTGGCACTGTAGGATGCACCCCGGGGATGCACCCTGTGATACTTGAAAGAAGAACAAAATGTAATACTTTTAAGTTGAAGACTGTCAGGCTGGTGACAAACAACTGTTTCACAATACGTTGTGAGAAAGGGAATTGTTATAACCAATCAAGTTTCTTAATCAGTTTAGTCTGTTCACTTTATGGAGACAGTCCATAAATAGATTAAAACTTTCCATGCTGTGGTAAAAAATATGCATTTTTCACCATGGGTTGATCTAATGGTATTGGGTGCTAATCACTTTCTCCTTTGGATATTCTTTAATACTCTTGAGTGTTCAGACATATTTCTGACAGCTTTATAATCTATTTTTGTCTGCATCTCGATGGTCTCAAATATGATATGTTCAACTCTGTTTTCAAGTGACGTTGGTTTACATGAGGCAAGTGTAGAGCTCATTTAAAATTATCTCACCATCTTGGGCTATTATAATATGGTTAGATACTAAAGAATTGGGTCATGCATAGCATGCGTATATCAAGTTATGGATGCATGTAGGAAGTTTAGAGAGCATGAAAGAAGGGTAAGAGTTGCTCAGGGCGATAGCCGTGAGCAACTCTAGCTTCTTGAGTTCTCTCCAAACTTCCCAAGTGTATCCTTAACTCGATATACTACGCACAGCTAAAAGCATGAGCCAATTCTTTTATAACATGATGACAACAACTTGGGCGCTAAAACATGTTATATTTGTGATTGACTACAAAGTTCTAACAATGCAAGGTGAAGGAAAACAAAGGTCATTAGGATCCCAACATGCCACAGTCAGTTGAGCAATGGTTAAACGAAAATGCTTGATAATGGTTTCTAAAATTGTCAATGAAAAATTTGCTTCTTTGAATTAATTATAATGAAAATGTAGGCAAGCAAAGTCAAAAATACTCAATGAAAATGTGGACAAACAAAGTCAAAATACTCAAGTGTGGGTAAACATCTTAACTTGTCAAAGGCTCAAAGTAGAGTTTGGATTCTTCACAATAATCTTCACATTGCTGAAACTTAAACTAAAGGAACTTGCACTAAACTCGACAGAAATTTTGCAGGGAAATTGAAACTGCACACGTCATCTTATATACGCATAGATACATAGAGGTTTTATTCATGATGGCTCAATAGGAATTAGATAGGACTAGCACACACTTTGTTACAAAGTTCTCTAGGACCTAGCTAAACTGTAGGATTTGAACAATGGGGATGTCGACCTATCAAACTGAATAGAAGGTATGTCAGTCTTCATTAGTGCCAAGCCAAAAAAGGAAAAAAAGCAGACCTAGGAATCTAAATTTTTGACTAATGAGAATAATATATTGTCTTACTGTACATTTGGTTAGACTGTCTCTTTTGATGTGACATATAGCAATAAAAACAATAGTCTGGCATATTTCATTTATTTGTATTGTTTGCATTCTTGTTTTTGCCCTTTTCATTACCCCAAAGAGGTAAAAGGTATTTACATAGCAATAGTATGCACTGTTGTTAACAAAATGTAGCGCTAAATATGATTCTTAGTTTTACATCTCTAGTATTGATTGAGGGCCATCAACCAAACCTTCTGCCCCCNCCCCCACTATCACCTTCACCTAACTTCTTCATACCAAGTGGCGCATAAGGCCTTCCCCCACTCTATCAATCCCAAAATATCACTCAAAAGAAACATGAAGTGCTATTTTTGTCTGATGAATTAATACCATGGAAACTCTAGTAAGCTCCCCCTTCTCTGTTTACCTCTTTAATACCCCAGTAAAGCCTCTCCCTTTTCATTTGGCATTTTTTAAGTTAGCCCCCCTAACTTCAAAATCAAAATATTTTTTTGTTCTAGACTTTGCAACAATGTTTATTTCGTTCAGATACCACATGCAAAAAGTTGAAAGCCACTATGCTTGCATGCTGTACGGTTGTTTAAGTCAAATCAGTAAAATGCTTTGTCACAGCAATTAATTACTTTTGTTTCTTGAAACAGCTTACATGTACATAAGACCTATGATTAAATACAACAAGCCCTGCAAAAGATCACATTTCATATGTTGTTACATTCCAGCATGTCGAAATTGGACATTAAAAACTACCTTACCAGCATCTACAAGCTTGACATCGCCAAGGTTAACACCAGAATAGCCCATGGTAAGCTGAAGTTACTGTCTAGTTTAATGTTTCAATTTAGCACTGGATGACTCGGCTATTTCTGTTTTCATTCTTTCTTGGGAATCACTGTGGCTCTGATGAATTATCAAACCCAGGTACTGGTGGGGTTGCCATAGAAATGTAAACTCATATGACCAAGTAATATCATTGGTGTAAAGTTAATTTATTGATTGATTTATTTATTTATTACACCAAAGTGTTCCCACATGATATTGACTTACCGTTATTTAGGATAAATCATAACATTTGACCTGTAAAGCTTGAAAGCTGTTTTAGAAAGAAGAGATTGAAATCAGTGCAGATGCTTGGTGCAAAAGTCTTGAATCAGACCTGGTGTTTAATTTTTCTCTTATCCTATAGGATAGCAAAGTAAAGAAAGACTGTCGCTTTTGTGTTCTTTAAACCAAGAGAAAGGGGAGTGGTGAGTTTACTAAGTTATTTATATTTTAATA